AACAAAATAATGCCTACGTACTATAATAGTCAATTTTAAGGCGTCTATCCACTCACGACTCAATGCCACACGAAGCAGCTTTGCGATGTAGCATAATACGTGTTGCTCGCAATGTGGATACACTGCTTTACAATTTTTCTTCGTACACAAATAGTATTTAAAAAATGAATAAATTTAGACGCGTACATTTTGTTTTTAATACCATGAAAGTGTTTTTATTTTATTTTTAAGTAAGCTTACATTAAAAGGTGAAGATATCGATAAACAAATTAAAGTGAATAGATTCAATGGTTTGGATCCGTCGGTTCGGATATGTGGAAAGAACGCCTGATGAAAATAATGATGATATTGATATAAATGCGAAAGAGGAAGGATGTAGAAGTCGGGGAAGGTTATGACACAAATTTTATGATCACTTATTATCGGAAGGTAACAAAGGTCACAAAAACTGGTGAGCATTTACTTGTACGAAAAGAGTTATAGTATCCGGTAATTTGAATTCGAAATGGAACGGAATTGGCTCTCTATGCCTACTCTGCAAGGGATCCGGTTTGAACATATTTGGACCTAATAACAGCTATATTTCTTTATAATCATAATTCCATATTAATATTTTAATGAGCATTTGATTATGTGTTGGTTTTCTTGATTTTTTAACTAATTTGTTACAAAAATATTCGTTTATATGCTTTGAGTATTATTTTAAATTTTATACGGAAACTCCGTAAACAAATATGTTGTTTGAATTTTTGCACATTGACTTTTTAAGTAATTAGGAACTGACATTTTTTTTTTACTTATTAATAGACCATCAAATATATTAACGGTTAAAACTTTTTAATTTTCATTTGTTAATGCATATTTATAAATTTAGCAAATCAATAACATCGATTACCTAGAATAAATAGACACAAATAACAGACATTCTGGAACAGACATGTTTAAAAATATTCAATATATTCTATAATTCAATATATAGAATGTGATAAACTAGAATAGTTTTAACGCAATCTAACGAACGATATCGAATGGAGGTGATTATTCTGTCAAACAAAACACGGGCGGAATCAGCAAGTCATCACCAGCAATATAACTTTATGAATCATCATCAGTAGCCCTTTTAAGTCTCCACCGCAAGGGCTCAAGTCGTAGTGTATTATCGATTACAAATTCAGTCATGATCAACAACTTATTTTATTTTCCGAAGTAGCTATAATATTATTTTTGGTCACCCAATCTGATGGACCCTTGCGAAAGCTGCTTAGCAACAATGATCGTAGACGGGAACTGCTCTTTTCCACTATACCACCGAATTAATCACTATGAATATTACAACCTTTAGTTCGTCTTCAACTTATAGTGTGACAAGATGTCGGCATATGTGATCCGTCTACTTTCAGGTTTTCTATTATTACTTCTACTTTTTTAGCCAGTCATGTTCTTCTCTAGACTTTGGTCACATTTGAATTGGCTTAATGAACTTAAATTTTAGCTGCTATACAATTTTAACATTTAATAAATTAAACCGTTTATCTGCCGTATCATTAAATTTATGATCTTCAATAATAAAATTCTAAACAATCTTTTAATTAGTATGATGAAACATTCGAGATTTATTAGGGGTCTACTTGGTACAACTAGGTCTACGTTCTTCTTTTACTTATGGCGCAATCACCTGCTCGAGATCGTCAATATTCTGAGCTTGGATTCTTAAAATTGACGATAGATCATGGAATGTTGCGTTGTATGTCCTGCTCTAATTTATTTATTTTTATTACAGTAGAGTGGAATAGAGAATGATGAAGTTATTAATTATTATAGAAGCGATATTCAGAAAAAAAAATTCATAATAAAAATAAGTAGATAAAGACCCCATATTATGGTGTATCTGACACGACGTACCGCAACACCAAGACCCGAGACAAAATGGAAATGTAAATTTTTTACATTGATCCTACCGAGAATTGAACCAGGGATTTCAGAGACACCTTGAAACCAACAACAACAAAGATCTTATAATCACCCTGAACCACTAACGCAAATATGTAAGCCGTCAGATTTTGCCAAGATTATTTGCATGTTTATGTTATCTTTGATTTTTTCCTGGATGATTAATAATAACTCGTATTTATTGCATATTCTGAGACCAAGGTGTTATAATATTGACGCAAAAATATTATTTTTTTATCCAATATAAATAGACGTAAGAGATTGCATGGTGTGCAAATTCCGCTCGTGCTATGTTGAATTCCGCATCTCCGATTTTATTATTTTCTACACCATTCCTGCCCATGTTATTTATAACGGGTTTACCACTGTTGGTGACCTGCTACGCAAACATTTTGAAAATTTACATTAAAAATTTCCAGTTTTAAATAAATATATTCATATATTTTTCTATTACAACGTTAGGAAACAATTGAGAACCAAAATATACAGCTGTGACGGTGTGTTTCGGTGTTTTCCTTGATAAATACCTAGTAGCCTGGCCTCAACTTGTGTAGCCACATGGACCTTATTTGAGTTATTGAGTTAACGTATTTTTCCTACCACCATCTAACTACACACAGCTTTTTAAGCAAAGACATTTAGAAAATACTACAACAAAGAATTATTAATACTACGACGGAACTACTATTCAAAAATTAATAAATTAAGTGTTTAACATAAAAAAAATATCCTCAGAATCATAGATTGAATAGGTATATTATACTACTCTTTTTCTATATTAAGACTTTCAAGGTGGCTACTGATATTTAAATCAAATTTTACAATTCAAAGAATCAATTTACAGTTTCGATAAAGAAGTATCGTCAAACTTTTATTTTAATACTATTATCATTTTATTTACATTTTTGGATACTGGAACATTAAGCTATATCATTAGATAGTTTGACTTTTACCTGTTTTCTCATTTTAGTTGAATGCAAAATCTTTTTTTTTTTGCCATAATCATGTTGAATTACATTATGTTTTCAATAGCAGAAAAATGTTTATACCCCAGTCATATTAAGTAAAAAAAGGGATCAACCTCGGTATAAGAGATAATAAGCTATAAATTGGTATAAACCTTTGTTTTGTCGATCTAAATGTTGTCTCAAAAGTCACAAATGATATCGTGTCCGCGTCTTAAGATATTGAAGGTGAAAGGTCATAAAAATTTTCACCCATATGAAAGTTGTAGAGTATAAAATTCTCTACAACTTTTGTTTTAACTTTTTTCATACGATCAACCGTTTTTGAGGTAGAGCGCGAAGAGTGCGCAGCGCACAGTCATATATGGTCTAATGCAATTCAACAATTAGGTATCGTCACTATGTTAAACATAATGTAATTCAACAATTGTGTATCGTCACTATGTTAAAGATCAGTTATATATTGGAGTGTTAATTATTAAAGGCTTAATGATTTCTACAGTACATTTACGATTATAATTTGTCTAATGGTTTCCTGAATGAATAGACCTTAAGGTCTATCTCGTTCTTTAATTTTCATTGACCATACCATTTGAGTAGCCGAAAGTGTAGTCAAAATAAATACCAAGCACATCTAAAAACATATTTTCAACTTCAAAAGCTTTAATTTCGAAGTTTACGACAGTTGTATAATCAAGTCTCCAGGAATTGAGTTGTACTATGGCTTGATGGCATCGATTTATTTTAAGATGTTCTAGAACTTAAAAGGGAATAACAAGACTATACGAACACGGGATACAGAGTGACATACTATTGGCAAAATTACATCCATATTTGAGCTGTATTAAGAAGCCTAGTCTACTCAATTAAAGTCGGCATAGAACTGGAACTGGACGTCTAGACTAGGCTACTTCGTACAGCATAAATCAATGTAGTAAAACCTTTTGAAGTAGGTTTTATTTATTAAATCACTACGCTGTGTAAACGCTGTGCACGACGAGTTTGACTCTAATTTTTGTACAAAATAAATAAGGTTTTTAAGTGGTTTTTAGGTATTAGGTTATATCGTGTAAAATATTTGACAATTTGATTTAATTAAAAAGTTTTTCAAAGACCCCAAATAGGTGGTCCAGTAACTGAAAGAAATTAACCTATTTTGGAACAGTAAAATTATCTACTAGAGTAATATTGATATCGTGCGTGTTATTTGGTTTCTTCTCTGTAATCTTATATTATTTATGCAAATATCATTAGGTCAAAAATAACTATCGGACTTTTATATCATTTGATTGTAAGAGTTTTGAACTCATTGTATTATTTTATAAAATATTTTCCATTAAAAATGTGTTCTCGTCCTTCAAAACAATGTGCGTTTTTCAGTGCTTTTGTCATTTAATATCAGTATTGAAGGTTTTAAAAAAACTTTATTGTAATATATATTTGATTGCAATATTAAAGGAGTCGTCATAAAATGTTCAGATAATTAAGTGATTTATTTTATCAGAAAATTGGTATTCAATACTGGATTGTAACTTTTCGTGATATGTACTGCTTAATGTTAAATTAAATGAATGAATGTACGTACTTCTACTTAATTATTGATATATGAAATATGAAAATAGATTTGACTTATGCCATTTTCATGATTGAACAGCTAAATTTAATATTTGGCAATTGTTTTGGCTTTTATAATTGATAGATTCATCTAATTATTTCCTATAATAAAAGTATAATAGCTATCAGAGCTGTGCGAACTAGCTGAGAAGTGCGCGAGCTAATCAACCAATAAGATCAATTTCCGAAGCAAACTAACCCGCACAGCACTGGAACATATACAATTAACCCCAACGACAAAAGGATTATTTCAAATACGTGATGCTTTCAATAGATTTTCGTTTAAAATTTCGTGTGCAGATAATATAAAAACGAAAAAATTGCAAATTCCATAAACAATACAATCAGGTGAAATCAATTAAAACCATATCCTAAAATTGCACTTATAAAACCATTTGAAGTTTTATAGGGCGCAACACTAGTAATTCGTTCGGATATTCGGGACGGAGCAGCGTACGCGCTAGGATACGCTTATGGCGTAGAGGGTTCTTCTTCTTGATGGTGTTTGGCGAGCGCTAGTAGGATCATTGTCAGTTGTTTTCTGCTTATTTTTCCGTCGCTACTGTATTCCACGCCTTGCAAGATCGTCTCCTCGAATTCTAGTAGGTCTTGAGCGTCGTAATCCTGTAAATATGAAAATATTTTAAAGTATTAAATAATTAGCGGGTTAGATTGACTTAATAACTTGCTTCGATTATTTTAACTAGGTTTAGCGTCAGAGTAAATTGCAATATTAGTATTAATCCAAATTAGTGATACGAGTCCAGTTTTTACTCGAGTCACTCGAGTGAATTTTTCGAACTCGAACTAGACTGAAAAAATATCACTCAAATTTCTGTGCACTCGAGTTACCTAGTCAACTAGATGCATCAAGTTGATTCTCTTGGCACTAGATGTCACTTCGCTACTCTTATTAATATATGCCGCTTATTTTTTTTTATTTTCTTGATCACCTATATAAAGAATATCTCAAAACTCTTTTAATGTCTTTTATTTATATTATGTAAGTTTTTTTTTTTAATTACTAAGAGACATCTTACTAGAATAGCATGTTTAATTTTTTTTACTCGAGTCACCAGAAAACTCGAGTATGACTCGAGTGAGGTAGTTAATCGGCTCGAGTGACTCGAGTCACAAAATCCTACTTGATTCTCAACACTAATCCAAATCCATATTATACAGAGAATAAGCAAAGCTATTTTCTTCTAGGAGTAAATATTATTCCTCTAGAACCTTGAGCTAGGTAAAATTTTTCTAAGACACTGTTTAATATTATGAATTTTGCCTAATACTAAGTGCAGTCTCAGCGGCTCTGCATCGGTTTTGTAAAAAAATACTACAAACTTTTTTTTTTTCAATATTTATATATTTTAATACTACTACTATCTTACTACTACTTCTATCCTTGGTCTTAAGCTCTAGACCGAGTAAGGGATGGCGATGACGTAATGTGATTGAAAGAGGTCAACAATAATGCCACCTATAAATGAGTTGATTGAACAGATATATGGAGTCAAGTTGAAGGCTACTTTCAAAGGTAATTTGTTGAATCGAAATATTAATTGAGTATGAAATTCAATCGAACATAGCGATCTTTACATAGTTAAGAATGGCGATGAAACATTTGTGTTTGTTTTTTATCTTTTAAGTCTTCGTCTTCATCTGGAATAAATTTTGTAAATCTGAAGAAAACGATTCGTTATATTATTTTTAAAGATAAAATAAAATATCAAGTCATAAGCGCTATGCAGCTACACCTCAGCGACATCTTATAATCGTGTATGGTACTTTATAGTTAGCATCAGCTCGTCATTTATTGTTGCAATGTTAACACGCGGATATATATGTCACTGATTCCGATGACATTAATAAAATATAACTAACCTTTTTAACTAACTCCAATAAGTCTTTTAAAAATCCACGAAGCTCTTCATTTTCAATAGAACCATTGTTATCCTGAAATTATAGAAAAAAAAAATCTAAATTATTTATTCCATCTAAACCTGCTACAAGCACTTGTAAATCTCTAAACTCTATGCCATTGGTTCGTAAATCTACGGCAAGAAACCTTGTACCAAGAAGAACTGGCAAGAAACTCAGCAAAAGCTTTATTCTATAAAAATCAGTCAACGTAGGTACTATATGACAATAGAATCAGTTCTAACATTGTTAAGATCCAAAAAACCTCGGGCATTTATACAAATATTTATCAAAAGAACAGAGGTATTGAAAATTACCATTACAATAATTAAGTTGCGGTTAATTGTAAACAATAATCTGATTGACCACAAATTAAATCACAGAAAATATATCTCTTCTTTTATTTATAAAGTTGATTTTGGAATACATACTCTGTCATAAAGGGAGAACACCCTTTCTATGTCGTCCTTGGTTAGCTTTGTAGCACCCTGTGGATATAAATTTGCGCTTATTAAAATTTTTGTTGAAAAAATTATCAAAAACACATTCACAGAATAAGGATGATGGTGGTAAAAAAAAAACTATTTAGTACGTCAACCCGATAATACAAAAATATTAGATACGTACTTTTGCTTCATGATAACAAGTTATTTAAACAAAAGGTAACATGTTGAGGATTGGAGGCTCTCTATGTCTACAACTAAGTAGAATGCGTGGAATATTATTCATTAATATACCTCATGCTGATAAAATATTTTACACAAATTATACTTATGATATAAATAAATATAGTAAATGAACAACAAAATTTATCTTTTAGAGATTTCAACATTTTAAATTTACTTTTTACATATAATCATTAAATAAATTGTAACTCGAAACGTGAATGTATATGTTATTCAAAATGTATATGTGTGGAATAAATGTGTCTTAAATTTGAAGACCAAGAGTATTATTTGCAAGTACCTAAAGTTTGAAATTTAGTGTTTATTGGATGTAAATACTGGCACCACGCTGGGCGCCAGTAAAAATCATATATTATAGATATAGGTTTACATTTATAATAATAATAATAATAATAATAATTTATTTCAGATATTGCATCCATATGATGTTAGTAACAATTAGACTTAATTCAACCGTTAGTAAAAATAATAATTTAATTAATTAATATTTAATTTAACAATTCTATTTAATTAAATATTTTTGTTTATTTCAATTTTACATTTAAATTAAATTTAACAATTAAAGAATGTACGTATCGGCTGGGAGGTCGCGTCGCCGTTTGCAGATACATCGCACGCATCAGCAGCGGCGAGTCCCGTCGATCATCGATTTATGCGACATTTCGTGTTCATTACTATTTTTGTATTAATATTGATTTTATTTCAATTGAAAATAATGCGTATTTATATGAGTATAAACAAAATATTTAATTAATATCACTTAACAAGGAAAACTAAATAATCAATTAACACAAAGTTAGTCTTAGGTGCATTTATTATAAATTTAAACAATATTAATTTTTATAATTAATTTAGTTCATTTTTTTTTCTTAATAATATTTGAAACACAAAACAAAATCGAAGTGCTACTATAAAAATAATGCGTCGTTATAAGATCAATAAATATGATAAATACACATTTTAAAAATGTTACAGCAAATTTATGTATATGAGTAGGTTTTTTGAAAATGGTAAATTTTTAAAACATAATTTATATAACATTAGTAAAAGTTAAAATATTTATAAATAAACAACCTGTTTTCATTCATAATGCTGGAAAATATCATTAATGAAAAATGCTTAAAAATCGGTTCTGTTCTGTCCTGTGGACAGTGGTTAGAGCAATCGCCCGGGTTGCGAAAGTTCGTGGGTTCGAATCCCATGTCACAGTACCAGGGACAAAATGGACTTTTAAGCATTTTTCATTAAGAATATTTACTTTCATTAAACAAAATTTGACCTTATTAAAAATTATTCACATATAAGTACAGTATAAATACTGATTGGCGATTAAAAACAAAAAACATCGAAAAACTTAAGTTTCGTTTGTAATTAGTAAAGAAACCATAGAAATATTTTTTTAAGAAATATTAACTATATGTGCTTTCTATACTAATATTATAAAGAGGAAAATTGTATTCTTTAAAACCGAAACTACAAGACCGATTTAAAAATATTGTTTCATCTACGGGAAACAACTTATGTATACGCGGATGACTTATGTTATAAGTTATTCGACCAAGTCGCAGGGTAACTAGGAGTTTTAATAAATACTGTTTTCTGCAGCGGCTCGATTAAGCCATAAAATAAGTATAATTAAAAAAAATATATCTAATACCATAGATAAAACTTATTAATCTTATAACGACATTTATATTGAGGACTCACCTCTATGCCCTCCTATGGGTGCGGTACAAGACAAGCGTGCGTTAGGACAGACAGAGGACAGGCAAATAAGTGATAGTGTCATGCTTAAGAAGACTTTATTTTTGTTAGAAAAGTCTGTAATTAGTCTTTAGTTTTAAGCCAATTGAACAATTATTATTTCAACTTTGCTCCATAACAAAATTTTGATTAGGTTATATGGATTAAATCCCTTTGCTTCTTATGAATTAAAAAGTGTGTTTAGAAAAAATATAACATTACGATTAACTGAATAAATGTTTCCAAAACCTTACAAAATCTATTAAACTCACCTAATAAGTAAAATATAATGTAAGTTTACCATGTTGATTTTCAACTTATTTAAATATATTGCCGAATAGGATTTTAAAATATCAGATTTGTTATTTTTCTTAAACAAAAAACGGCACTTGACCTTTTACAGACTTTTGCAACACTATTTCCAACTAGTTATTAGGTACTCGTATTTAGTTTATTATTCCTTCATAGAGATATAACAGAATAAAAAAATATTTTAATCATATTGTTTCAACATTGATGAGAATTTTTATTTATATGTAATATTAGGTTTATTTTCAAAAATCTAGTAGTAATAAGTTAAGGTTATTCTTCCAAATTATATGTATTAAGTAAGTGCACGAAAATGTATATTCATGAAGTTGCTGAGTATGTGAAATAATAATAACTTGTTTTATCTATATAGATGCCAGTATTAAAATGCTAATGAGATTGTGCTTGTACGAACTTAATGCGAAACATGAGGTTATACACGAAACGGGATACACGAAATTATCATTTTAATAAGTTAATTAGTATAGAAACAAAGAATAAATTATGGCAATAAGTATTTATAACATCTTTTGCGTCGATAAATTTAATAATTAATATTTATGTGACAGAATTTTAGAAAAAAAATCTATGTACTCTACAAGACAAGTTATTATGCTATTCAGTAATTTAATCAGCCTTGTAGCACAGGCTGTTACAGTAAAGAGGTTCAACGAAATAAAAACTTTATTAACCCTTAATGAAAAATACTTAAAAAATCCACTTTGTCCCTGGTACTTTGATATGGGATTGGAAACCATGACCTTTCTCAATCCTTAACCCTTTAACAAGTATTACCTACTTATATTTTATCCGCATTACGATTCAACCCCCATCTAAGATTGCCTAAAACGTTTTCACACAATTTACGTTTCATTACAAACAACTATATGAAACTTTTTCAGAAATTTATTTTACTAAGAGTTTTTAAAAAGCTGATCTTATTTAGCATTTTTATTAGACAAAAGA